CAAATATTCTAGCTCAAATAAACCTGCTGTATGTTTCGCGTATAATGATTTGTCTTATTTTCTTCAGTACTATCACTAGAGAACATATGATAACATAGGAGTGTATATGGACCATAATTAATTTTCTGTACTACACAAATTGGCTAGCAATCATATTTGTGTGGTTAGAATCTCAATGTAGAATAGAAAGCTGGTTGTTAGCTAGTTGGGTGAAGGATAGGTCGGCAGAAGCCGCCAAACGAGATAGATAACGCGGGAGGAAGAAGGCCAATGCAACATTTGAAACTTCAAGTCCTATCTACATATCCGGTTGATTTTTCAATGGGAAGCATTCATTGGAAGCGCATGCTGGTTTGGATGAATTCTCGTCAATCAGATATAGCTTGTCTGGTTCATTTGGGTCTAACTATTTTGATGCTTATATGTCATCTCTTTGTTGAATATAATGTGTCATCTTTGACTTCATATAAACATCTTCTATTTTTGGATGACAATGACGGATAAGACATTAGATATGGTAGTCCTTCCTAAGAATGCAGTTTTTGAGTATTGACTAGAAATTTGTGTTGTTCTTCGGTTGTTTTATTTGTGAGTCCTTGTTTAATTAAGTTTTCTTTTTTCTTTTTTATAACACTGTGTGCATCTGATAGATATGTAGGCCGGGTGTAATTTTATTTTTTAATGAAATATTTTCGATTAGAAAAAAGAACTACATAGTTGCTGACCCAATGGAACGTCAATATAGACTACTCTTTTGGACAAAACATGTCAGCATGCGTGCAGACTTTGAAGTCTTCACGTTGGAAAGGATGTACGAACCTAGATTTAGATCAGTGGCAATAACGTGTTCAACTACAACTATAACAGTTACATAATAGAGCCATGTTCATAGCCAATGGTATTTATCTAAAATGCATTGGCACAGATAAGGACGGGTACCAACCACCCAAAAAACGTACCCTCTCCGTCAAAAAAAAAAAAAGACCAACTCTACGAATGAATCTGGACACGCATGTATCCAGATTCGTAGCTAGGATTAGGTTTTTTATGAGACGGAGTAGTACTGTCTTTATATATGAATTTGAATATATATTTAACTTTATGATTAAGAGTTACTATATATTTTATATATTTTGGATTAAATGTACACTATTGGAGAAATGATCTTTGCTCTGCTCGGTGGTCCGAAAACCACAATAGTCCCGGTTCAAATAGGAACCGAGACTAAAGATCATTTGTTGTCCCGGTTAAAAAGTGCAACGGAAATGGATGATCATTAGTCCCGGTTGGTGTTATCATCTTTAGTCCTGTTTGGTCCTCTGACAAGGTTTGTCAGGGGCCGAGGATCTTTAGTCTTTGTTGGTATTACCAACCGGGACTAAAGCTTGTCACATTTTTATATTCCTTCCTCCTCCAGCCCGAGCCATTGCTGCAAATTGGAGGTGGAAGGGAGGGAGGTGCTGTCCAAATTTTTTGTGAATGTGTTTTGGTGATAATATACAAATCAGAGGGATCGAAAATGTTAGTAACTCCATTCTCTAATGATGTATGCTTAGCATATTACATTTATAGCTTTGTGTTCTATACATTATTGTCTCTAACAAGGTTTATGGGCAGGGGTAGACGAGGGCGACGAGGACCTCACTGCTCCCTAGTCCTACCCACCTAACCATGGCCACCGACAAGTATAGAGAGTAAGAGATGAGATAGGGTAGAGGGGGATGTCAATGCCACGTGGGCTACATGCCACGTAGGCGTCACGTCAAAAAAACCAGCCTCCGTAGTGCCTTAGGATCTGTTTTGCATTGTTTTTGCAAGTTGGGGGGGGAGGATCAAGATTTCTTGTATTGCGATTTAGGGATGCAAAATTAAATTTGACGGGAATGATAAGGGACGTAAAATGAACTTCTTCCTCCTTCCCCTCCCTTACTTCCTTCACTCTCGCCACCGCCTCCTCTCCTTCCTTGCCTCCTCCGGCCTCGCCGCCGCCTCCTCTCCTCCCTCCCCACCGCTGTAGGGGTTGGTGGCGTTGTGGTCCTAAGCGAGGGCATCTCCATCGGATGGGTTGATGACAGTGTCGACGGCAGCGGGTGGGTGGAGGAGGAGGTGAGGTGAGGGCGTTCGGCGTGGGTGGCGGTGGTTGCCTCCTCCTCCCTCAGTGAGTTTTCTCCGGCCACACCTTCTCTACAAAACCCTGACATGTGGGGTCCACGTGCTGGTTCAACCAGTCAACGGGGTCAAAGATGTCACGTCGAACGAAACTGCCTTCCAAACCGTCTGAGGAGTCGATTTACAATGGTTTTGTGAGTTGGAGGACATGTTATACCTGGTTTTGTTGTTGAGGGATGCAATTCAACCAGGGGCATGAGATAAGGAACGCAAAATAGACTTATCTTCTTACTAATAAAGTGTTGGCCCATCAGCTAGACTACACACCAACTGAAGCCTTAACTTGAAACTGGCCGACTCCGATCAAATGCCGATTCAGCACGAATTAGGCCCTGTTTAGTTCTCAAACAAAATTTTTTATGCTGTCATATTGAATGTTTAGACATATGCATATATAGAGTATTAATTGTAGAAAAAAAACTAATTACACAATTCGCTAGAAAATTGCTACATTCTATTTATTTCTCCCTGAAAATAATTACACAGTTCAACTTAAAAAAAACTAATGACACAGTTCGTTACGTTCTTTTTATTTTCGGGCAAAAAATCGCCCACCTGTAAATAGCTAAGAGCAATGCAAGTTTTTTTTTATTAGGATTTGTGCCATATATGTATCATTGCCATATGAACCAGAACCAACCAAGGCTTCATGCATGTGTCAATTGTCGGGGCAAAACCTTGCCATATGAACAAAAAATATTTTTTTTCTTTCAATTGATTTTATGGCCGTTGAATTTGCACGGAAATTGGGATTTGTATCGACCACAGCCAGCACTTTTAGCAGTGATTACGACTCCTTAGAGGGCACCTGTAAGTTGATGATCTACCTGTCTTTTTTGTTTTTTTTCTTTGCTTTGGATTTCTTGTTCTAACTTCACTAAATCAGCTAGGAAGAATATTTATGCAAATTTATATACTCCTGCCTCTACCCTATACCACCGTCATCCGGTTGCCCTTATCCTGCTTGCTTCGAAGATGGATGAAATTGTCAGTCTTTGCTACAAAGTTCTCTTCCTGCTCGAAGCATATCAGGTACTACGATGCCTTTGTATGGGAGTGCGCCAAGTCTCCCAAGAACAGGTTGTGCCGGCCATTTGTTCTTCTCTGGCCATGGATCTGCTTCTGCATTGATCTTACTCGTTGGCTCCGGTGGTGAACATACAAGGTGTGGTTGGTTTTTTATTTTTCTTGCTGAGGCCTCAACTTTCCTCGCGAGGTCCCATTTGGGTTCGTGCCGAGGCATGATCTTTTGGAGCTCGCCATGACATCCTTGCTTTCATCGTCATTGTGTGCATCGACCAGGTAGTCGACTGTCGTCGACTAAACATAGCAAAGGATTCGATTGCTTTTTCTATTTCTTGTTAGGTCCTTCTTTGCATAATTCTAGGTCTATTTGTAACTTACTGATCTTCACGGGGCTTTTATGTAAAACAGGTTATACTCCAAGATTCTTTACATATAAATCCTGAGGCTGTACCCTCAGCTTGTCCTAAAAGAAATTATTGAGGTTATTCTTCATAATTCAAGAAAATAACATTTGCTATGAGCCTTCTCTCAATTTTATCTGTCAAATGAGCAAGATCCACTACCTTTGACCTTGTAGTTCCCATTGGAAGTCCTAGATATGTAAATGTAATAGTTCCTACTACACACCAAAAACACCGGCTAGTTGTTACACCTTTTTTTCTAGTACATTTAGAGATATTAAACTTCGGCTTATGAAAATTCAGTTTGAGGCCGGTGGACTAAGCAAAGTATTTAATAAAGCTTCAAGGAAAAAACAAGTTCATTCTGTGAAGCCCACATTAGGATTATAGTATCACGAGCATATTGAATAATTGGGAATCCGCCTCCATTATTCTCATTGATATGTTTGCATATCATTCCCATTTGAATGCCTTGTTAACAATGCTTTGGAGCAAATAAACTCCCAGGACTTGGAGCAAATAAGCTCCCCGGACAGTGGATTTCCCCGCCTTACTCCTCTTCTACACTTTAAGGAGTTTGGAACTCCATCGAGAAGCATTGAGGTATAGGCAGTTATAAAAATAAAAATGATATATACCAATTACAACCATTTGGTTGGAAACCCCATATGCTTCATAATCTCTAAAACAACTTCATGCTCAATAATGGTGTCAAAGGTATTTTCAAAATCCAACTTTAAGATTACAATCAAATTGGTTAAAAAAAATGAAACTAGGCCAGCACATATGGCATGTAGCTCACTATAAGAAAAAGGCCTAACACAACTTGTATCATGTACATCCGCACGAGACGAGTATGGGTGAAATATGTGCCCATAGTTACGTAGGTGATTTGGTGGCTCGCAATATAAGCGTGGCATCTAGTTAATGGAATCTTCAATGTTCCATCCAAAAAAGTATGCTTTTGGTTGAATTTCATTGCTAAATTTTTGAGCCTTCCTAGACCACTCGGTCTTCGACAATTTCTACTCAAGATTCTAGGCATTTCAAAATTTGTCATCTCATTTTTTTTACCGGGAATTTGTCATCTCATTTGGCTAGATTTCAAAATTGCAAACACCAAGTGAAGTGAGCATAGCTCAATTGTTTAAGTTCCTAAGTGGAACCTGGCCACTCAGTGAAAATATCTATGTTGACTTGATTAATCTTAAAATATAATGGTCCAATCTTCGAATGTACTCATAAAGATTTGCTAATGATAGATTAATTAGGCTTAATAAATTCGTCTCGCAATTTTCTAGCGATATCTATAATTTGTTTTATTATTAGACTACGTTTAATACTTCAAATGTATAAATGTATATCCGTATATCCGATGTGACAACCAAACCTAAAACTTTTCCCTAACTAAACGAAGCCTATATTTCGAAAAAAAAAAAACTTGCAAACACCCATCGTAAGTAGGCCCTCCCGAAATACTTATTTCATTTCTTTCCTCGATAAGTTTTTTTTTTCTCGCTGGCGCCAAGCTCGTCAATTCAAAAAATTCAAAAATAAAAAATCCGCCCTTTCGCATCCATGGCCAAGAACCCCAAGGCGGCCAAGAACCGCCGCCCCACGACGCGGAGACCTCGCGCCGCCGCCGCCGCCGCCACCGCCTCCGCCTCCGCGGACATCGAGGACCTGGCGCCGCCGTCCGGGTGCAGGGCAGCAGTGGGGCTCACCACGGCCGCCGCGGCGGTGCGCGCGGAGCTGCTGCGGTGGTACGACGCCAACCGGCGCGACCTGCCATGGCGGCGCGCCGCGGAGCCGGCGGGGAGCGGGAGCGGGAGCGGGCGCGGCGAGGAGAAGAGGGCGTACGCGGTGTGGGTGTCGGAGGTGATGCTGCAGCAGACGCGGGTGCCCGTGGTGGTCGACTACTACTCCCGGTGGATGGCCCGCTGGCCCACCGTGGACAGCCTCGCCGCTGCCACGCAGGAGGTGAGACAAGAGAAATTATCTCTCCTCCACCATCGCTGGAAAAGGAAATGTAAAGTTTGATGCTGTGTGTGGGAGAGTGGTAATCGAGTTCTTGATTTGTGGTTGCCGCCGATTGTTGCAGGAGGTGAACGAGATGTGGGCGGGGCTCGGGTATTACCGGAGGGCTCGATTTCTTCTCGAGGTGAGTAGTGAGTTGATTGATCACGAATTCACTGTCGAAACGACGGGGATTGGGATGGGGTTCACTTGTTCAGTGCGTTCTGCGGAAGAATTTTTCAGCTTTTGACAGCGCCCACGAACCGTTTGATGTTTTGTCTATAGGAGAGATTTTATTTGGAATCCGTTTTGTGTCTGATAAAGGAGGGGATTATTGCTACTAGTTTGTGATGTTTGCTGCATTGTTTTCGCTGCCAATCTCATGTGAAGTTATCAGTTCATCTGGTGAAGATTTGGCTAGTTTGGGTGGAAGAACTGACAAGAACATCAGCAGAAATCATCCTTTTTCTTCACATTTGTATTCAGTTTACAATTAGCACTTCATGGTCATAGTAAGTTAAAAATACTTAAGAGTAAAGTCCATCACCGGTCCCTAAACTTGTACCGCTGTGTCATCCCGGTCCTTAAACTCTCAAATCGACCGTTCAGGTCCTTAAACTTGTTCGATTGTGTTATCCCGGTCCCTAAACTTGCATATCACTCGTTTAGGTCCTCCAACTTGTTCAGCTGTGTCACCCCGGTCCCTAAACTTGGATTTGAATATGATCTGGGTCAAATAGGATGGTCTAAAGACTTTACATTAAAAATAATTCATAACTTTTTCATGTGAACTCTAATGAAGACAAACTTTATATGAAACTTGTAGCCATCGACGCAATCTACAACTTTGTAGTTGATTTTTTTTTATTTTAAGTCATTTTTTGTCCCAAAATGTAATTTTAAAATTAAAATTTCAAAATCTATAAACATGCAACAATATTTTGGGACCCTAAACAGTTTTAATTCAAAAACTTTTCAACTACAAAGTTGTAGGTCGCGTCGAGAGTTACAATTTTGATATAAAGTTTGTCTTCATTAGAGTTCACATGAAAAAGTTATGAATTATTTTTTGATATAAAGTTTTTAGACCGTCCTGTTTAGGGACTGAGGTGACACAACTGAACAAGTTGGAGGACCTAAACGAGTGATCTGCAAGTTTAGGGACCGGGATGAACAGTCGAACAAGTTTGAGGACCTGAATGGTCGATTTGCGAGTTTAGGGACCGGGATGACATAACGGTACAAGTTTAGGGACTGGGGATGGACTTTACTCAATACTTAATGATGTTAAAATGTTTTACTTTTATCGTTTATGCAGCACACAGTTCGTTTCAATCTTTCTTGCTGAAGCACTGTTATGTGCATGCAATGTTTTTCCTTGAAAGATGAAATGAATGAATAAGTACCTCTGCATCTATGTACACAGTGTTGGGCAACTAATAGAAATTGTTGGTAGGGAGCAATGCATTATTTTGGGCATGTATTTTAGTTGAATCTCTTTGTAGCTCAGTAAGATTTTGCTTTTTGTTGCAAAGTAGGGAGCAAAGCAAATTGTTGAAAAAGGCGAGTTCCCTCGCACAGCATCAGCACTCCGTGAAGTTCGTGGCATTGGGGATTACACAGCAGGAGCCATTGCTTCCATAGCCTTCAATGAGGTTGTGTTCCACATAATTTATATCCTATTGAAATCACCATGGCTATGATCCTTTACATCCTCACATGATAAGTTGATAACACAACTTCTTGCTAATATAGGTTGTCCCTGTTGTGGATGGAAATGTCCGAGTTATCAGCAGGCTTTACGCTATTCCTGATAACCCAAAAGAATCCTCAACTGTGAAGAGATTCTGGTCAGCAACTATCTTTATCGATCACTGTAAAACTGTACACACACATATATATATCCATGTATGTGCCATGACTTACACTAAATTAGCACTAAAATTCATCCTTACTGCATTTCATCATTTTGCACAACATTGAATTATACTGATAAGCAATTTCAGCCAAAATGTGTAAGTTCATATAACCAATTTGCACTTGTTGGATAAGTCTTTGTGGTCCTTTGTCGTGATTCTTCTTTTTGCTTTTGGGTAGTTTCACCTTTTTCAGGACAGCATCTACCCTTTAGCATATTTTTCAGTTGCTAGGACAGCTGCGGTTAGTAGGACAGCAGCAGTTAGCATCTCCTTTATGCCTCCTTTATGCTTTATTCAGTTTGGATGCCCTCTAGGACAGCATCCCATTCAAATTTCGAATTTTAGACTAGGAGGGTGCAGCAATAGGCTAGCAGCCAGCTATGGCTATATATATATGTATCCAACCTCCCTCGGGTAGGTATGGCTTTTGTGTTTAGTGAATGAAGAAAACCAGAAAATCGCCCCATCTCGAGTGCCATCCTCTTCTCAATGAGAGTAACCATTGAAATTCTAAAATCTGGTATCAGAGCCACACTTTCCTGTAGGCTAAACATCTCTTGTTCCACCCCTTCCCAAGCTCGGTTGAGCTCTCAGCCAGCAGCAGCAGCAGCACCAGTTGCTCCTCCTTCCCCTTTCCCTTCCTCCTCTCCACGCAGCAGCCCCCCGGAGGTGCACCATGTCCGACGCTCGGTCTCGCCGTTCGGTTGCCTCGAGCACTCGGCGTCAGCAGGACGCCGAGCTCGCCGCAGCAGAAGAGCGCAGGCGAGCAACGGCTCGGACCGGTGCAGCAGCAGCGAGGGCGGCCAGACTGGCGGCAGCGGAGTTGGCAGCAGCCAGGGCGGAGGCGGAGGCGGAGGCGGCGGAAGATGCGGCACGTGCGGCGGAGGTAGAGGTTGAGACCTTGCGCAGCAGCATCAACGGCTCCATCGCCGGCGACATCACCGCCGACAGGGAGCTTGAGGAGCTGGCAAGAGGAAGGGCACGGGAGCGAGCAGAGCGGTGGGTAGCAGCCCACCTCCATGGCGGCGGCGGCGGCCCAAGGGACCGCGCGCCCGCCGACGGGAACCCAAACGGGCGCGAGCGTGCTGGCGGTAGCCCGGAGCCCGCACGCGGCCCTCGCAGGCAGCACGGCTCTCTCTCCCCTGACCGGCGCCATGGTCACCACGGCGTCCAGACGGTGGTCAGGGACTTTGGTCCCGGCGGTGGGTGGCCTACCCTCACCAAAACCAACTACATCGAGTGGGCCGCGGTGATGAGGGTGAGGCTCCAGGTGCGGCATGTGGGAGGCAGTCCGGTACGGTGACGTCGACTACGATGAGGATCGGCGGGCACTGGATGCCCTCATCGCTGCAGTCCCGCCCGAGATGCAGTTCTCGCTTTCCCAGAAGCGGACTGCCAAGGAGGCCTGGGACGCCATCGCTGCGGCACGCATCGGCAGCGACCGCGCCCGCAAGTCCACACTGCAGGCACTCCGCAAGGAGTGGGAGAACCTGGCCTTCAAGCCAGGTGAGGATGTTGATGACTTTGCTCTCCGTCTCAACACTCTCTTGCAGAAAATGGTGCAGTACGGTGACGACACCTACGACGAGGAGAGAGCTGTCGAGAAGCTCTTCCGCTGCGTCCCTGAGAAGTACAGGCAGATCGCTCGCTCGATCGAATCTCTGTTGGACCTCTCCACGATGTCGATCGAGGAGGCGTTAGGTCGCCTCAAGGTCGTCGATGGTGATGAGCCACAGCCTCTCTCGGGGCCCATCACCATCGGCGGGAAGCTCCATCTCACTCGGGAGCAGTGGGAGGCCTCTCAAGGTGACAGGAGGAAGGGGGAGTCATCTTCCCCGACAGGCGGCCGTAAGCCGCGCAAGGCGCGGGGAGGTGTCCAGCTACGGTGGGCGCGAAGACGTGCCGAGGGTGGCGCCCGCAGAGGTGCCCAGGGCGTTGCCACCGGCAACCACAAGCCGGCACGAGACGACGCCTGCCGCAACTGTGGCAAGCTTGGCCATTGGGCCAAAGACTGTCAACAGCCACGACGTGGCCAGGCCCACGTCGCACGGGTGGAGGAAGAGCCGGCTCTGCTCCTGGCTCACGCAAGCATCGAGCTACCTCCAGCGGCACCGGCCGCAGCGGCTTTCCTCCACCTTGATGAGCCGAAGGTACTCGTCTCCCTCTGCAACGGCTCCAGCAACGACAAGGCTGATGGGTGGTACCTCGACACCGGCGCCACCCATCACATGACCGGCCGACGGGAGTTCTTCACCGAGTTCGACTCTAGCGTCCGAGGCTCCGTCAAGTTCGGGGACGCCTCCGGCGTGGAGATCAAGGGTGTTGGCTCCGTCACCTTCACCGCCAAGTCCGGTGAGCACAGGCTGCTCACTGGAGTCTACTACATCCCCGCATTGAGGAATTCTATCATCAGCGTGGGACAGCTGGATGAGAACGGCTCACGCGTGATGGTCGAGGACGGACTCATGAGGATTTGGGATCGCCGTCGTCGCCTTCTTGCCAAGGTAACCAGAGGCACTAATCGACTCTACATCCTCAGCGCGCAGGTCGCACAACCAGTTTGCCTCGCCGCTCGTCGGGACGACGAGGCGTGGCAGTGGCACGAGCGCTTCGGGCACCTCCACTTCGAGGCCCTGAAGCAGCTCAGTGCCAAGGAGATGGTGCGAGGCATGCCGTGCCTTGACCACGTGGAGCAGCTCTGCGACGTCTGCGTGGTGACGAAGCAGCGGCGGCTCCCCTTTCCCCAGCAGACGAGCTTCCGAGCCAAAAAGCGGCTCGAGCTCGTGCACGAGGACTTGTGTGGCCCAGTGACACCGGCCACACCAGGAGGACGACGTTACTTCCTACTGCTCGTCGACGACCTCTCCCGCTACATGTGGGTGATGGTCCTCGGCAGCAAGGGAGAGGCTGCGGACGCCATCAGGCATGCGCAGGCTGCTGCAGAGGCAGAGTGCGGCCGCAAGCTGCGCGTGCTGCGCACCGACAACGGCGGCGAATTCACAGCGGCTGAATTCGCGTCGTACTGCGCTGATGAGGGCATTCAGCGCCACTACACCACGCCGTACAGCCCGCAGCAGAACGGCGTCGTCGAGCGGCGCAACCAGACGGTTGTGGGGATGGCTCGGGCCCTCCTCAAGCAGAGGGGGATGCCGGCCATCTTCTGGGGGGAGGTGGTGGTGACGGCCGCCTACATCCTCAACCGCTCGCCTACCAAGGCCCTCGATGGCAGGACACCGTACGAGGCTTGGCATGGGCGCAAGCCGGCGGTCTCCCACCTGCGGGTCTTCGGCTGCCTCGCGTTCGCTAAGGAGCTTGGCCACATCGGCAAGCTCGACGACAGGAGCACCCCAGGGGTGTTCATCGGCTATGCAGAGGGCTCGAAGGCCTACCGCATCCTCGACCCGGAGACACAGCGTGTGCGCACTGCGCGTGACGTTGTGTTCGATGAAGGGCGAGGGTGGGTATGGGACAAGGCGGTGGACGATGGTTCGATTCCGACGTACGACGACTTCACCGTCGAGTACGTCCACTTCGAGGGAGCTGGGGGAGTAGGCAGCTCTTCTTCACCTAGCGTGTCTACCCTAGCCCCTGAATCTCCACCGACTCCAACACCAACACACCCTCGGGCCACGACTTCGACTACGACGAGCTCTTCGTCGACACCACCCCAGCCAGTGACTCCACATGCTCCAGTACCAACAGCCACTCCTCCAAGCACGTCTACTCTGACGCCAGCTCGTGTTGAGCGTAGCCCGGTGGAGTTCGCTACTCCGCTCTCCCACGACGGGGAGCGCATCGACGCGTACAACGACGGCGAGCAGCTACGGTACCGTACGATGGAGGATCTTCTCGGCGACCAGCCGGTGCCGGGACTGGTGCCTCGCGACCTAGAGGCGCAGTTGCACCTTGCGTGCGACGACGGTGAGCCTCGGTCTTTTGCAGAGGCCGAGAAACACGCGGCATGGCGTGCCGCGATGCAGTCGGAGATGGACGCGGTTCAGGAGAACCGCACCTGGGAGCTTGCTGACCTCCCTCGTGGTCACCGCGCGATCACCCTTAAGTGGGTGTTCAAGCTAAAGAGGGATGAAGCCGGAGCCATCATCAAGCACAAGGCTCGCTTGGTGGCACGCGGTTTCGTGCAGCAGGAGGGGATCGACTACGACGATGCCTTCGCTCCCGTGGCACGGATGGAGTCCGTGCGACTCCTTCTTGCGCTGGCTGCTCAGGAAGGCTGGGGCGTCCATCACATGGACGTCAAGTCGGCGTTTCTAAACGGCGACTTGAAGGAGGAGGTCTACGTGCACCAGCCGCCGGGATTTGTGATCCCCGGCAAGGAGGGCAAGGTGCTACGCCTGCACAAGGCCCTCTACGGCTTGCAGCAGGCACCGAGGGCGTGGAATGCCAAGTTGGATTCCACGCTCAAGGGGATGGGCTTCGAGCAAAGCCCGCACGAGGCGGCCATCTACCGGCGGGGCAATGGAGGAAATGCCTTGCTGGTGGGTGTCTACGTCGACGACTTAGTGATCACCGGCACCAAGGATGCGGAGGTCGCGGCGTTCAAGGAGGAGATGAAGGCCACCTTCCAGATGAGTGATCAGGGGCCTCTCTCCTTCTACCTGGGGATCGAAGTGCACAAGGACAACTCCGGGATCACGCTTCGACAGACCGCCTACGCCAAGCGCGTCGTTGAGCTGGCTGGGCTCACCGATTGCAACCCAGCTCTCACTCCGATGGAGGAGAGACTGAAGCTGAGCCGCGACAGCACGGCGGAGGAGGTGGATGCTACACAGTACCGACGTCTTGTGGGGAGCCTTCGCTACCTCACCCACACACGGCCGGACTTGGCCTTCTCCGTCGGCTACGTCAGTCGGTTCATGCAGCGACCGACGACGGAGCACCAGCAGGCTGTGAAGAGGATCATCCGCTACGTTGCGGGGACTCTCGACCACGGTCTCTACTACCCAAGGTGTCCTGGCAAGGCACACTTCGTCGGGTACAGCGACAGCGACCACGCCGGCGACATCGACACCAGCAAGAGCACGAGCGGGATTCTCTTCTTCCTCGGCAAGTGCCTCGTTAGCTGGCAGTCGGTCAAGCAGCAGGTGGTGGCCCTGTCCAGCTGCGAGGCCGAGTACATGGCGGCCTCCGCCGCTTCGACCCAGGCGCTCTGGCTTGCTCGACTGCTTAGTGATCTCCTCGGCAGAGACACTGGAACGGTGGAGCTCAGGGTGGATAGCAAGTCTGCTCTAGCCCTGGCAAAAAACCCCGTTTTTCACGAACGGAGCAAGCACATCCGGGTGAGGTACCACTTCATCCGAAGCTACTTGGAGGAAGGGAGCATCAAGGCGAGCTACATCAACACCAAGGACCAGCTTGCGGACTTGCTCACCAAGCCTCTTGGGAGGATCAAGTTCCTCGAGCTCTGCTCCAGGATCGGGATGGCCCAACTTCCCCACAAGACGACGCACAAGACTTAGGGGGAGAATGTTGGATAAGTCTTTGTGGTCCTTGGTCATGATTCTTCTTTTTGCTTTTGGGTAGTTTCACCTTTTTCAGGACAGCATCTACCCTTTAGCATATTTTTCAGTTGCTAGGACAGCTGCGGTTAGTAGGACAGCAGCAGTTAGCATCTCCTTTATGCCTCCTTTATGCTTTATTCAGTTTGGATGCCCTCTAGGACAGCATCCCATTCAAATTTCGAATTTTAGACTAGGAGGGTGCAGCAATAGGCTAGCAGCCAGCTATGGCTATATATATATATGTATCCAACCTCTCTCGGGTAGGTATGACTTTTGTGTTTAGTGAATAAAGAAAACCAGAAAATCGCCCCCATCTCGAGTGCCATCCTCTTCTCAATGAGAGTAACCATTGAAATTCTAACAGCACTACGATTTACAAGCTCAATTTACAGTTCCCTGATCCCCATTCAAGTGCAAACCTTATCTGTAAATGGCTGTATTTTGAACTTCCATATGATACCGTTTTCCCATACAGCTTTTTCAGAATTAGAAGCTTTATATTGATCTGAAAACTTCCAAATTGCATAGACTTTGAACATCATTTCCTTGATCACAGGCAGCTCACTGGTGAACTGGTCGACCCTTCTAGGCCAGGAGACTTCAACCAAGCAATTATGGAACTAGGAGCAACACTCTGCAGAAAGACGAAGCCCGGTTGCTCCCAGTGCCCTGTCTCCAACCACTGCCAAGCACTCACACTTTCCAACCAAAGTGCTTCCGTAAAAGTTACAGACTACCCACGAGTGGTTCCAAAAGCCAAGCCACGGTCTGATTTTGCTGCTGTTTGTGTTGTTCAAATCAATGATAATCTCTTTCTATTGATCAAGAGGCCAGAAGAGGGCCTGCTCGCTGGGCTCTGGGAGTTCCCATCTGTTCTTGTGAGCGAAGAGAAGACTGATGTGCTGAATAGGAGAAAAGAGATGGACAAATATTTGAAGCAGGTCCTTAGCATAGATGTTAAAAGGAGATCCAGTGTGATCCTCAGGGAAGATGTTGGCCAACATGTTCACATTTTCTCTCACATTCGCCTGACGATGTTTGTTGAGCTGATGATTTTGAACCTCAAAGGTAATCATTTGTTGTCCATACTAGCAGTTATTCATTTTTGTTTAGCTACACTCTATTATTCATTCAGGCAAAATTGGTTATATAGCATCGAAAGTTCACGTTTTTTGTTTTATAGCACCGAAAGATACCGGTTCACTTTAATAGCACCCAAAGTTCACCATATTCCCATTTTTAACACTTCCGTCAATTCTCGGTCGTTTTTCGTTCGTCTTGATCGAGCCACACACACGATATGACGTTTCTACCCCTCACAAGTACAAGTAGAATGCATGTCAATGAGGGGTAGAAACGTCATATCGTGTGCGTGGCTGGGTCAATAGCGATCAAGACGGACGGAAAAATTGACGGAAGTGTAAAAAATGGGAACGGGGTGAACTTTGGGTGCTATTAAAGTGAACCGGTATCTTTCGGTGCTATAAAACCAAAAACGTGAACTTTCGATGCCATATAACCAATTTTGCCCATTCAGGCAAAATTGCCTAATTTCTTCACTGTAGATGATGGGGATAAATTATGCATGGAGGGACAAGATAACAGCAAACTGAGATTCATTGACGAAAATGCAGTCGACTCAATAGGATTGATATCAGGGATCCGGAAGGTACGCACAAATTCAATGTGGTAAAAATATTTCCTCAGAGTTTGGTTAAAATTGTAAGATGAATGCTCACTTCAGGTGTACAACATGGTCAAGGCCTTCAAGGAGAAGAGGCCGAAAGAGCAGAGCCAAGTACCATCGAGGAAAAGGAGTAGACGGCTGAAGTAGCAAATCTTCAGAACTAAATGCAGAAGTAACATAACTGCAGAAGCAACTAGTCAATAACTGAATGCTGATATTATCTTGTAGTTGTACTGTGTATTTGTGCTGCTCACTCAACTAAATTGGCCGCATATTGCTGCATTTTGGCAAAGCTGACCGTGAGTTAGTAGTTTATCTTAGGTGGAGGGGAGCACGGGAAAAAAAGAGAAGGGAGAAAAAAAAATCCATATCATCGTCTACGTGGCGTGTCACGTAGATAAGACCACGGTCAAACGGGGATTTAGATCGGAATGATACAATAAACCAAATTTAGGGGTCCTGATGTATGCTTTGCAAGTTCGTGGAACTAAGTGAAATCTCATAACAAGTTTAAGGATCGCTGGTGTATTTTACTCTTTAACTGAACACCTGGTAGTCACTGCTGAAAAAGTAAACCCATTTTCGTTCATGAATATTCGGTTCCTCGTCCAATTTACTCGGCCATTTTTGCACATTAAGACTTGACAACTTTTTTTAACCTGACATGATATGAAGAAAATTATATCCATTACGCTGATACTTACATGGTACTAAGATTTGATTTTTATTTTTTACAATACAAACTGTGCTTTGATTATTTGACATCCCAGGTTGTGTTTGGATATACAAGTTCCCATCTTCTACTTTTTGGTTTTGTGTGCGCATTTCCTAAATTGCTACTCCCTCTGTCCCAAAATATAGGTATTTTTATACATCGATACGGTCTTCGAGATGCTACTTTAATCAATAATATCTATAAAAGCAAGATTTTTAAATAAAAAGAGTTGCATATTATAATTATTTGTTCAATGATAAATCTAGTAACATCAAATTTACATGATTGATCTTTTTTATTTCTTTGCTATTAATAGTCAAAATTTTAAAATTTTGACTTGATAAAATGCTTATATTTTAGGAGGGAGGGAGTAAACGATGTGTTTTTTTTTAAAAAAAAATCTATATGAAAGCTATTTTGGAAAATTATATTAATCCAGTTTTCATGTAGAAGGAATAAGTCAAAAACCACTAGGTTCGAACACACCCTAGAAACTAAGATGTTTTCACGTGTCATGAGTGTAGATCATCGAATTTTACCCAAATTCGAATAACAATACCACCAAATTTTACATCTCCGTTGTGTACCACAAGGTGGACGCAATTCAACGTCAAAGGGAGAGACTAGGCAAACAAATTGTCCCCACCAGCCGGGAACTCCCACACACCGAGGGTCCGTGGCCACCGTGGTGCGCGCGCCGCCGCCGGCGATCGGAGATCGGCGACCGGCGACCGATGCGGGGGAGGGGAAGGAACGTCGAGAGGGACGTACTCGTCGCCGCCACCACGCAGCAGGTAATTTGGGGGGAGTTGAGGTGAGCGAGAGATGTGTGCGACCATGACTTGGCACCATGACGCGTGTATGTGACCCTCTCGTTTGCTGCTTGCTGCAGGTGGGGAATGAGATGCGGGCTGCGCTTGGATACGACCTGATGACCAGAGAAATCGTTCCTAGAGGTGTGTTAGTAGGGGAGATTGATCGGTTGTGCTCAGGATGCTGGGGTTTGGTAATTAGTATCCATTCTACACTAATTTTGCTTTGGCAAATCTTCACTGTGACTGTGCAGGCAACCTGTTCGACGTTTTGCCTACGAGAGCCTTCAGAGTACGATCCAGTGTTTACACATGAATGCTATCCTGCGATGTGATGATGACCAAAGCTAATCTTCGGAACAGCTAGGGTCAGTGGCTAGTACTGATCCTTTTTTTTATGATTCTTTTGAAAATTAACTGGCTCATTCATGATCGTAAGTGATGGTTACTCTGATATGGCTGTTATGGTGATATTAGCAGCAAGAGTGTGCAAAAACATGCTAACTACTCAAAGTGCATACCACCCAAGGCTGATGTTGGTATATGTTAACATCAGTACATCACCCAAACCACTATAAAATGTAACAAATGACAAAATACAGTTCTGTTTGTTTCCCTACCAATGTTTTCAGTGATTTATGGCGAGAAATTTGTTAATGAAATACCCAGTCATACATATATCCTTTATGAGAATGATTTTTTCAAGACATGATTACAAGAACCAAATGCACTAGATAACTGTCAATTACAGATCAATTTTATTTAGTATGGTGTCTGCATTATTGTTCTAATCCAAAAGTTCATAACTTAAATTACAAAAACTGGCTGTCTCAATACTGCTATAGTTGTATACATACACAAAGTACCCTCAGTGTTGCTTTCTCATCTGGCTTCCCCACACAATCAGGATCATCATTGCAAAAGAAATGAAAAATCCCGATGCAGTGAAGAGGAGAAGTACAACATCTATGGATTTCTCTAAAGTGTATGGCATCGCAATTGGCTCTTTTGGGTTGTTACATTGTCTAGATAACGGTGGTCCACACAAACCTGTGTTTCCAAGAAAAGAGTTGTTGGAAAATGTGGAAAACTGATATGAGTTTGGTATTCTTCCAACCAGCATGTTGTAGGACAAATTCAGTGTTGAAAGGAAGTTGAGTGATGCTAACTCCTCGGGGATCTCCCCAGAGAACTCATTCGAGGAGAGGTCCAGTGACTCAAGTTGATTCAATCTGCCAAACTGAGTTGGAATTGATCCTGTAAGGGCATTGTGAGACATGTTGAGCCCATGAAGAAGAATAAGCTCCCCGATAGTCTCAGGGATGGCGCCATGGAATGCATTATTCGAGAAATCAATCAGCACTAGGGTCCTCAAGATCTTGGAAATTGTCATGTAATTCCCTTTGTATGTAACTGTAGCAGTAAACTGGTATGTTTGTCCATGGTAATACTGATTTTCCATGACTAATGTCTCATTATCAGATCTGGTCATCATGGACTTGAGCATCTTAAACCATGCCTCTGGCAGTGTTCCATTGAAGTCGTTTGAAGCCATATCAGCAATTCTCAGTTCTGTAAATTCACAGGTGTTTCCACCAACCATATATGAAGGATCCATTAGTTGTCCAGTGAACTTGTTAGATTTGAGGACAAGGACTTGAAGTTTAGGAAGTTGACTCATCCAACATGGGAAGGAATCACTAAAATGATTGCCTCCAATGTCAAGGATCTCCAAGTTCCTGCAAGCAATTAAAGATCTGGGTATCTTCCCCTCAAACAAATTGCCACTTATATCTATTGCCTCAAGTGCACAACCTTCCTTGATGTTATCTGGTAATGTTCCAATAAGTTTATTTTCCTTCAGATTTAATATTTGTAATGCAGTGACATCCTCCATTAGACAAGTTGGGATCGAACCACTCAAGTTATTGTAAGAGAGATCAATGAGTTGCAGTCTCGGAGCAGTACAGATTGATGGAATATTTCCAGATAGTTTGTTTTTGGAAGCCTTGAAAGTATAAGTTTAAGGTAAGTTGAGTAATTAAGAGGCATGGAGGAGAACTGGTTGCTTGAATAATCTAACATGGTGCTTCCTTCTTGTGGTACAGGTAGGGGCCCTTCAATGCTGTTGAAACTGAGATCAAAGTACTCTATTCGAAGAGGAAGCAAAGGATCTGATCCAAGACTAGTTAAGTTATTGTGTGACATGTTCAGGAGGAGAAAGTACAAGCCTCTCCATGTCTCCCATGCCCACTGAGGTATAGCTCCCTGGATTTGGTTATGTGAAAGGTCAAGAGTGGTGATCTCATGGAGATGCTTCAAGATGTTGGGAAAGGTTGATATACTGCAAGATGCTAACCTTAAGAGTTTTATTTTTGGGAAGGGCACAAACGATGAACTATTTTCTCCATGTAGCACAAGTAGTTTATTGTTTGAGAGATTCAGGACAGATAGGTTTTTCAGTTTTGTGAATGATGTGAGTTCTACCGTGCCGGCCAAATTGTTCGAATGGAGCTGCAGAGATTGCAACTGAGTCAAATTAAAGATCTGTGGAGGCACCTTCCCTGAAAAGTTGCAGTTGTACAATGCTAATTTAGTCAATTTCCTTAAGTTTCCTATTGAAGAAGGTACTTGTCCAGACAATCCACAGTTAGAGAACTGGAGAGCTGTAAGAGAAGTTAGGTTTGAGATCCATGAAGGTATGGATCCTACTAGCTGTAATCCAGACACTTCTAGCAAATCCAAATATTTGAGGCTACCTAACGAAGAAGGAAGCGTTCCAGAGAAGCCACTTGCACCAAGGTCTAACTTCTTCAAAGATTTGAGATTGCTGATGGATCTTGTAATCGTACCTGTGAAGTTTGTGCTACTGACAAACAGATTCTCCAAGCTACTTTCCTGTGAGAAATTCGGCAGATTACCAGATATGCCAGGATTCTTAGAAAGATCAATCATTCTCAACTTCTTGTGCTGGAAGATGATGGGAGGAAACCATCCTTGAAAGTCGTTTTTGGATAGCTGAAGAACAGAGAGGTTGGAGAAGCTAGCGAAGAACTCTGGTATTGAACCTGACAAGTGATTGCGGTGAAGCTCAATAGTATTCAGTGATTGCATGGCCGACAACGATGCGCAGATGGGACCTGACAGTGAGCACCAAGGCAAACTTAAAACCTGAAGCTTAGGTGTGGACTTGGCTATGTGGTCACACCACCGTTCACCTTCCCTGGACATGTCCATCATTCCCATATGGAGCTGCTCTAGGTTGGTGAGGTTTGTGAGAAAGGTCTCCATGTTTGGCGCTTTGAGCTGCCAAAATGAATCCAAGGTGAACTTCATGATGTTGTTTTCGTCATCGTAAACGAGAGCATAGAATTTGGTGGAGAGGTCAAGATACACGAGGTTCATAATGCTCCCGATGCCTGCCGGCACCTCACCAGCGATATTGGTGTTGGAGAGGTCAAGGTGCATGAGCTCAGTGAGCTCCTGGAACCCAGTGAACGGGAGCTTGGACATGCTGAAGTTGTTACCAGAGAGATCAAGGTGTTTGAGTGAGGTTAACCTGAACAATGCAGGGTGGACGCTGTCAGCTTGCAGGTGGTGGCCGCCCAAGTCGAGTGAGGTTACACGACCATCGGCACCATCGCAGTGGACGCCCTCCCAGTGGCAGCAGTCTGCACCGGCGACCCATGATCGAAAGACGGTGGAGTAGTCACCGGCCGTCACGTTGAACGAGCCCTTTAGCTGGAGCAGTGCCGAGGCCTGTTCCGGAAGGCAGAGAACCGGTGTCGTTACGATGGAGGTCGTAGTTCTGTCAGCAAGCGTGGGGGTGGCCTGAACTTGCAGGAGGATGTGCATCACAGTTAGCAGTGATGTGAGATGATGAGCTACTCTCTTGGAGAAGGACGACATGGTGAAGGTATTTTCACAAGCTCTATTCTTTCTTCACTACAATGACTTGAGTTTGTTGCAATTGAGGTAGTTCGATATTAATATATGCATGCATGTGGTTAAAGGGTTGGTGTTGTGTAAACATCGATTGTAGTGCAATAGGAAAACCTGACTGCAATTGGTGTCAGTCAATATTGATGTCCCCTACTATATATCCATTTACGGTGAGAACAAGTCAGACGCACATTTGCAAGCACTCAATGAACAATTTGCGTGGTTTTGAGAGAGGATGTCAAGTGAAGGATGTTAAACAAGGGGGGTACAAGAATAAGGGCTACCTTGTAACAATGGAATTTTGGAGTTTTATAGGGTTAAAATTGTGTGCTCCATCCAAACGGTCATTTACCTTCATAGGATTTGAGGTTTCAAGACACTTGAATCCTACATTTTTACTATCCCTGTGTTTCAAAAATCATGTTCCAAAAGAGCCCTAAGAGGATGGACAAGTACGTGTTCATTCGATCAACAACCTTTCCCGCTCTATGATGCCGTGACTGGAGGAGTGTGGTATTTTGCGTAGTGAAGTTATATGCTTGGAATGGGTATAGCTGAGAATCTCTTAACCTTTATTGGTGGCTCATTTTGTTTAGACTCACTATATACTTCCTACTATTGGTTTGATGAGAAGGTGGCTGAGCCACCTGGTCTAGACCATTAGCCTTTTTAGAAAGTATCCTTTCTGGTTGTCGTTATTTGTATGTTGGAGAATGTTCAACAGCTCCTTGCATTTCCCCCCCTAAACTTTTGAGTGGGTGAATTTATATACAAAGCCGGAGATGCAATTCATCTTTCATTGTCTAAAAACAGCCGGGGTAGCAGGTATATCTGCAATCTATATCATTGTATGGACTGTTTATATAACCAAATCATTAATTAAAAAAAAGCACTAGGGTTCGGCTTGTTTGGATAGAAAATTTTAACGCACGCAAAACAAGAAAGCTCATTAGCACATAATTGATTAAGTATTAATAATTATAAAATTGAAAAATGGATTTATTTGATTTTTTAAACAACTTCTATATAGAAATTTTTCTTAAAAAACACATCATTTAACAGTTTAAAAAGCGTGCTAACAGAAAACGAGGAAGTTGAAGTTTTAAGTTGGAGAAAAGAACTGGCCCTTAGAGGCATAAGGTTTTTGTTAGATTTTTTGACTGAAGGTTTTTTTGTCATATTTTTTTTTTCACATGAGCGCTTTCAGGTGCATAGACCATATAATACAAACCACTGGATTTAAGCGCTTGTGGCATGTCCTGGGACCCTGAAGCATCCACCACTCCACAAGCGGCCGCCATGCTACAGGTCGTACAAAATGGTACATCGTCTAGGAATTCATCTTATCTCTTAGCTCATGATGCAGGTAACAATTTGTCTATAGAATCCGCATTAGGCTCAGCCCCATGTGGAGCGGGCTCATGAACTCATAGTACACTACTAAGAAAAGCATTATCGCCGGCGGTGGAAACCGGTCTTCACAGGCAGGGCGGCCGTCCGCCTATAAGCAAACGTAGCCTGTTTTACATTTCTATTATAGCTTCATATAAAATGATTAATCTAGAGTCACCATGTTGAGCGATAGTAATATCGCTGCCAGTTAACGTTTGACATTCAAAATTTTCAGTTTCGATCAGAAACCATCAATTTTACATACATTTCCTTAATAAAATCACCTTAAAAATTACCCCGTTTCCACCAGCCATTCTCTCAATGAACCACCATTGAAAATCCTGTGAAAATTGATTTCCACATGAGGTTTTAGACCATTGGCCCTCTCACCGTAATCACAATTAGATTTTCTTATGATCCACTTCGGAAAATGAAACCGGGATGTCTTAAAAAATGGTTTTTTTATAGTGTGTTGGGAGATCAGAAAGAACTCTTAACTAGAATTTTCTTTAACGATAGCATCAATAATAGATTTGGTTAGCATCAATACCATTGAAGAATCTACTTAAACTATGGGAAATTCGATCGCTTAGACAGAACTAGTTGGGTGGCCCGTGTAATTGCGCGGCTAGCACCAATACAAAGTTATCTATTTTTTAATACGGTCTTACTTAAATTTTTTTAAGCTTCCCCGATCTACCACTACTTCTATTTATTTTCCTTGAAACATTTAAAAATTGGATCTTCTAGTTTTTAGAGTTTATGGTCTCATTGGATTTCGTTTATATAATTTTTACAAGTCACGTCAAACACTGTCACCATACTTCTCTACCTCATCTCTTTATTATCATTGGAATTTAAAAAATCGAACATAATTATTGTTTGGGTTCATGTTTACTTTCTAGAAGTCCTGCCAAACCATTAGCGATTTTGCCATTTGTCGGTGACATGGGACCGGGAGTATCATGACTAGAGGCTTGGGCAGACGCGATCACCCACGTGGCCTGACCCCCTCGGGGGGGTCGGGCCCGAGGGTGATATGGCCGCCCCTCTCTTTGTCTCCCCGAGGGGTCGGACCGCTCCCGTTTCGGCCCCGAGGGCCGAGGCGCCCCGACCCCTTGTGGGTTTTGCGCCGCGTGTATGGGTTAGATGAGCACAGCGGGGCTCACCTAACCGCATTTATTGCGGTTTGGACGAGCGCGTCATGCCGCATGTAACGCAGTGCAGCGCGCTCGTTTATCCGGTCTGTGACCGGTCACAGACCGGTCAGATCGCGGGATAGGTGGCAACAGGCGGTCTGACACACGCCTCGCCCCATCCCGTCAGGATGAGAGCCTCCAGGCACTCGTCCCTAGCCGGAGCCAGCGTGCTAGCTCCTGGAGATGGCACGTTGGTCCCGGTCAGATATATGCCAGGCTTCATCGCAACCATTACAAGCAAGACATTGTATGAAGAAGGGCGAACATGCAGATTGCTAATCTGACGCGTGGTGGACAAGAGTGACTGGTTTGCGACCGGTCTGACACTGGTTATGTCGTCGGCAGACAACCGTGTCCCCATGTTGCACCTGCTTCCGGCGGAGTGGAGGTAGGTATGGGCCGTCCCATCAGAAGGATCACTCGGACAGCAGCCATTGCAAGTCTCCGCCCATTTATGAAGAGATGACAGGGTGATCCCTGTGGTCAGACGAATGAGGACGCGTGGCCGCGCTCAAAAACAAGCAGTGTTTTAGCTTCCAAGAGAAGGCGAGCCAAGTTTTAGTAAAGATAGGATGGGTCCCCACCCTATAGAAAAAGAGGTAGAAGTGATGCATGTGGGATCCCCTTGAGATATAAAAGGAGGACCTTGCCCACTTAAGAAGGGGGACCCGGGGACCCGGAGACCCGGGGACCCGGAGAACCGGAGAACCGGAGCTGGTAGAGGAGGGAAAGAGGAAGAGGGTCTCTAGAGTTTGAACTCTCTTGCTCTCCAGCTCTTTGTAGCTCCTTCATACACAGATCCACCAGAACACAGGAGTAGGGTATTACGCTTCTAAGCGGCCCGAACCTGTATACATCGCCCGTGTCTTGCGCGTTTCCACTTTAGCGAACATTCCACAGATTGAGAGCTTAGAACTTCACTTAGCGTCCCCGGCCGAACCGGCAAAGGGGGGCCTGCGCGGTCTCCTGGTGAGGAGCCCCACGCTCCGTCACCGTTGTACTCCTCTATGGCTCGCCCGCTGCTTCACTCTTTGTTGTCATGGAGATTTTAAAAATCGAACATGGTTATCATTGGGTTTACTTTTTTACTTTTTAGAAGTCCCGCCAACCGCCGTGATCGTGCTGTTTAACAGTCTGTCTAACGTCCCTTCTTTTAATCATCATTGGGATACTATTCGGGGTTTTGTTAATAGTTCTTAGATGTCCCATCAGCCGCCAACACTCTATTCCTTCATAGGCTTGTTGTTTCTCCCCTCTTTATTGTTATATGTTATCGCTGTGTTCTAGATGAACTTTTTTTTTAAAATTCCATATTTTTCATTCTGATATTCTTTTACTTATAAATCATATTTCTATTTAAACTCTTATAATTATTTTTTCTATGTTTAGAATTTATTTTATTTGCTAGCCGGGTGGCCCGCGCAATTGCACGACTAGCACCCATACAAAATTATCTATTTTTTATCATGTTTTTTCTTAAAATTTGTGAAATACCTGTTGTCTTAAGACTTCAAAAGACCAAACCTTATCATCCCAGTGTTCCTAATTTTATAGTTTTTAAAAGTCACGCCAATAGTTCCTTACTTATTTGTCACCTCTCTTTTATTTGCTTCCTCGATTTATCATGGCTTCTATTCATTCTCTCTGAAACCTTTAAAAATTAGACCTTGTAGGTTTTAGTGTTTATTGTCTCGTTTGGTTTCATTTTATAATTTTTAGAAGCCCGCCAACCACAATGACTGTGTTGTTTAATAGCTTGTCCGTGGTCCCTCTTTTTAGTCATCATTGGGATTTTTTCTGAGGTCTTGTTAATAGTTTTGAGATGTCCCAACAATCGTGATCACTCTATTCCTTTAATGGCATGTTGATTCTCCCCTCTTTGTTGTCATTTGTCATCGTTTGTGTTCTAGATTTGTTTTTGAAAATTCCACATTTTTCATTCCGATATTATTTTATTTATAAATTGTACTCCTACTTGAACTCTTATAATTATTTTTCTATTTTCAGAATTCATTTTATTTGTTATTCCTAATTTTAATTAATATTTACTAAAAAAATTAATTAATCTTGTCTTGTGTTCTAGATGATCTCTTATTTTCAACCGTCCTTATTCTTTATTATTAATTTTGGTTATTTATAAACTGTAATCCAATTTGAACTCTTATTTCTCTTTTTCTAATTTCAGAATTTATGTTATTTTTTATTTCGAATTTTACTTAATATCATATTGTGTTTTATATGGATTAATATTCCTTATTTTTTATTTTCAATTTCAGTTGATTTAAAATTCTATTCCGACTTGAACTCTTTATTACTATTATTTTTCTAATTTCAGATTTTATTTTATTTTTATTACAAATTTTAATTAATCTCGTATTAGGTTATTATATGGACTCTTATTTTAATATTGCTTATTTTCAATTTCAAATTTTAGTTATTATTAAATTTTATTCCTACTTGAATTCTTGTTTTATTTTTCTTTTCTAATGTTGGGTTTTATTTTATTTTTTATTATGAATTTTAATTAATCTTATATTGGGTTCTTATATGTACTCTTCTTTCAATATTACTTACTTTTAATTCCGAATTTCAGTTATTTTTTAATTAT